CTGAGGATAGGTCAAACTGCCTTCCAGAGTGGTTGTGCCATTTTACAATCCCACCAACAATGTACAAGAGTTCCTATCTCGCCACATCCTCTCCAACATTTATTACTTGCTGTCCTGTTAAACCGCCACTGCTACTGGAGTGAGATGGTATCTCATTGTGGTTTTTATTTTCATCTCTCTTACTGCCAGTGATTTTGAGCATTTTGTGTATCTATTGGTAACCTGGGTATCTTTCTCTGTGAATTTTTTTTCCATGTCTTTTGCCCATTTTGTAATTGGGCTATCATTCGTTTTCTTGTGGAGGCCCTGTGCGATTCTGTAAACTTCTGATAGGAGACTCTTGTCTAAAATGGTATTGCTACATACTTTTCCCCAGTCAGCAGGTTTTCTTTTCACTCTCTTGGAAAAAGGTTTTGATGTGCACAGAGATTTAATCTTTAGACGGTCTCATTCACCAATTTTATCCTCTCTAACCACGCTATTTTATATAAATGAAACAGTATAAATTGGCACATTACTATTTTGCAATAAATCCCTTCTGACTTTCAAGGCAAAGTCCAAGCTGTTTAACATCATGGAACGGCAGAGGGAAGGGAGAAGGAGCAACCACCAAAGCACACTGAGTATCTGTATGGCCTTGGACACTGTGTTAATACTTTTGGAATCAGTGATCCATACATCCCTCAAGGCTGTTTAAGATTTTACCTGAAATGACAGTTTGGAATGAGAACTTAAAAACACCTATTTGGTTTTGATGAATTCACTTGGCAACCTGAAGCGGGGGGTGGGGTGGGGGTGGGGGACGACGACGACAAATGTTATATTTCTCTTTGTTAATCTTTTCTAAGAGACGCTGAACGATGGCTATCATAGAACAGCCTTCTGAGAAAGTCCTGCCTCAGCCTCTTGGGAGAATGGTGTCCCTGCAGAACAAGGAGCAGTAACAGGTTACCTAATCTCTGAGTCTCAGCTCTTATCTGTAGAAGGTGTAACAGAAAGTAGATTTACCATTTTCATTTAGAAAGACCACCTACTTAGTATGTGGCATATTGTTCTGGAATCATTACATGTGACATTGGTACTTTGAATCGACAGTTTCCTTTCACTCCTCTTAGATACTGAACCTCTGAAAATGGTGTAGTCCAGTCATGTCCTCTTATAACTTTGCAAAGACAAGAATCACCATCATTCTAAGGTAGATAGATTCCAGTGAGGCAGAGAGCAGACATACAGCCACTCTTCAACCTTTTTCCCAGTTCAAACAACACCTGTCCCTCTTATAACACTCTATACTTCTTTGCTAGATTCAAAAATTTATTGCAATAGTCACAAAGAACTCAGACAATATTCACAATTATAGAGTTTATTAGGAAAGTAACAGATTACAATTCAGGATCAGGAAGTACTAAGGATACAGTTTTTTGGCAGTAACAGCTTCTCAGATACACTCACAGGCAGGCCTCGCCCTGGCCCTCAGCCCCTTGGCCTCTGATCCCTCAAGACTCTTAGGCCAGCCTAGTATCTCTGCCCTTGCCAGGCCAAGTGTTAAAAAGCTCTTTAGCTCTCTGTAAGTGCCTAGGGGTACCTGACTGCATCAGGAAGCATCATGCCTGAATGTGCTCAGCTCTCTTGTTCTGTGGGTAGCATACTCACAGTAGAAGCCCTGCTCCATGGGCTAGGAGCCTCACCATCTCTTCACATGCCAGCCTCCTAGGTTTGCTATCACTCTTTCTTTGCTCCTGTTTCTTGCCATCTCTGGTTATGACTCTCCGCCCCCCCCACCCCCAATCTCCTTGGCCTAGGAGGTTCTCAGCATAGGGATCCCCAGTCTTTCTTGGTGGTGGTGATGGAGCAGCTCATTTCTGCCTCTTGTGGGGTGGGGCTTATTTTAAGCCTAATAAAATGGCAAACCTACCAACCCCTTAGTGGACGACAAGTACCATGATTTCTTCTTAACGGAATCCACAATTAACACTTTTGACACCAGCAGTTAAGAAATCAAAAGATGTGTTGCAATGGGAAAGTCTGCTGTTAGGAACCCCTCCAAAGGACTTGAAGAGCAATGTTGTTAAAGACTAAGGCACACCTGATCCACGCCACGGTTTTTTCACTCACTGATACACATCTGAAAGCTGAACAACAAATAAGGATGACAGAACAATCATCGATGCCTTTGAGTTGTCGGAATATCCCAAGGACTGACGTAAGAATAAACAAGTATGTCTTGAAGGAGGCGCAGTCTGAGTGCTCCTTAGAGGTAAGAATGGTGACGCTTTCTCTCACCTCCTTTGAGCATGTTGTTAAGGTGGACGATTCCTTGGAAAGTAGAATTATGCTTGAAAAGGTGGAGAGTCAGCCAAAGAAAGGAAGTTCCTTAAGGAGATGGACTGCCATGGTGACTGTAGCCAACGGGCGCACGTGTGTCAGAGATGATGAGGACGGCACAGGACAGGACAGGGTTCAGATCTGTTGTTCACAGAATCACGATGAGTCACACACAACTCAGTGGTACATAACATTACCTAATCATTAGGTGGGAGTTACAAGACCATGGCAAGAGAAGCCATATAAACGTGATCCACTACTTCAGACTCTGTCAGGAACAAGAGGAACTGAAAATATCTTACTACATGCCTTAAATGATGAAGCTGTAGGTTCCATTGTATGTGGTCAGGCAACTCAAGCTCAAACCATTATTAAAGTAAAATTTTAACTCAAGGTCATTAAGTTGGAATCAACTTATGGCTGTCCCTCTGTTGGGTTTCGAAGGCTATAAATTGGACAGGAGGATACTGTTCTTATGGTGAATGTGAACCACAAGAGGTGTGGCTTTTGGGTTGGCAATCAGATTCCCAACAGACTAGCCAGAACTTCTTATTCACTAAAGAGATCTTGGATAAACTACCTTTAGTTGGTATTGATTGTTGCCATTAAGTCCACTTCAACTCAAGGAACTAATCCACAGGGTCTCCAAGGCTGTGACCTTTCTGAAGATTATCAGGCCTTTTTTTTTTTTTGAGGCGTCTTAATGAGTTTGAACTGCCAACCTCTCTTCCAATTGTGGAGCATGTAATCATCTACCCTTGCCAGGATCTAAGGTAAGAGGAGTTAGTTCAAGTGACAATCTTTAGTGTAGGGATAGGTCAGTGCTATCTCTAAGCAATGACCAACTTGACTGAAGAAAGCTCTCTTTCTCTACATGCCTTTGAGAAGAGTCAAGCTAGTGAATGAAGACAGAGGAGAGGCATCGCTCCATCAAGAGAGGGCAGGGTGTCAGCTGATGCTCAGACCATACCTGCCTGCCACCTAAATACCCTTCAATATGGGAAAATGGGAAACAAAAATGGGAAATACAACCACCACTCCAATCCCATGGCAACCAATCAATTCTTACCCATAGAGACCTATATGACAACGTACAACTGCGCCACAGGATTTCTAAGACTACTATTTGTGGAATGGAGCTCTTATAGCTTAGAGGTAAGAAATCACGCTATCCACATAAAGGTACGGAGTTTGAATCCATCAGCTGCTTTGCAGGAGAAATATGGACAATTTCCTCTTGTGAGATTTACTGCCTCTGAAAGCCCTCTGGAGGATGAGCTGAGTCGGTTCTGACTTGACAGAACACAACCACCACCTTTAGGGAAGCAATCAGCCACATCTTTCTCCCATTCAGTTTTTCAGTTAGCAGCTGGGCACTTAGCCAATTGGGACCAGCCATAGGGACTTCTTGATAGAAAAAATGGAAAGCGCCCTAGAAATCCCTTCTCCCTTCAAAATTTGGCATGTAAATAACACTTCTCTAGTGAGACGATCTGTAACTTCCATCAGATTCACTAATGTTCTCCCAGACAATCCAACTTCTTCACAGGACAGACAGGGAAACTGAGACACTGAGGAAGAGGCAATTTTTGTTAGATCTGTGGCGCTAAGGGCCATGCATAGCAACCGTATGAACAACAGATTTGAACCTTCCTCTATCTGCATCATCTTGAACACCTGCGTCACGCTCAAGCTCAATGTGGCAGTCATAGCATCAACCCAACCCTCTTTCAATGACCCTCTATCTTTCCCATAGAGGTCCCCAAGTGCTGGTTCATCCTGAAAATATGGCCTAAATAATTGATATGAAGTTTCACCAATCAAGAGAGATTTCTTTCTATTGGTAGCCTGTGGAATATTCAACATTTGCCACCAACACCACGATTCAAAAGCTTCGATTCTTGATCATCTTATTACTGTCCAACTTCCAAATGCATATGAAGCAAATGAAAGCAACAGGGCCTGGATGAGGCACAACTTGGTCTTTAAACTGACATCCTTGCTCTTTAGAACTTTGCAAAGGTCTTTGACAGATTTCCCTAATTTGATGTCTTTTGATCTCTTGACTACTGCTACCAAAAGTGGACCCCAGTAAAATGAAATGGCAGCTGTTTCAAGGCAAAACAGTAGGAACGAAAAAACCCAAGGCATTTCAATTCCATGTAGGCTCTGAAAGGTCCCTGGAGGGCGAGGAACGGCGACTGAGGTCGGATGATGTTCCAGAGCCAGATTCCAGCCGCAAGGAAATTCCAGCCCCGGGCTCGATGTCATGAAGATTCTCCCACCCCGCCGTCACCCCCGCGCGATTCCATCGCCTTGTTGATACCAAAGGGAGAACCTAGGGCAAGACAAGGGGAAGTGAAGGTGCCTAGGCGACGGAGAAGAATGACGTCCACTCACTCACCTGACCACAGGCGAGGAGGAAACAGGCACGCCCCGAACCCGGGCACCGAGCAAACCCGCGGCCGCCGGAGGTGGGAGTGAAAAGAATAACAGGAAATGACGTAAGCGCACGTGCTTCCGAGGGGGGGGCGCGGGTGATAGGTGTGGGCACCGCCTCGCGCCTGCGCACTCACCGCTCGCCGAGCTGCCGAGTCACTAGAGGGGGCGGAGCAAGAGCCGGGGACGGGGCGTGGACACGGGTGACGCAAGCGCACTGCGACTCCCCGAGGCTCGGGCCGGCCCTTCGGCGGGTTTGGATCCGGGTCAGTCGGGCGCTAGCTACGATCTTGGACGGACGATCTGAAGTGACGGCACCGGATCCTCGGGACGCGCCAGCTGCGAGGAGGTAGGTCAGCGCTGTGACTGGACAAGGGGGGGTTGTCGGTGGCACACCTTCAGGCCTGGAAGGCCGAGTTACCGCCTTTGGGCCCTCGGTCCTCTCCTCTCCTTTTGGTCGCGTCGCCTCCCGGTGTTGACCGCCTGGGCCGGGCCTGGGCCTCTGGGCGCCCGGCGGGCCCCCGCGGCCTGGATCTCCCGGAGCCCTGCTCGCTCTCCTTTTCCCGCCTTCCTGACTGCTGACGGCCCCCGCCCAGGCCCTCGTTCCCGCCTGGCGGCGGCTTCCCCTTTTCTCCCCGCTTACCCGCCCTTTGCTGCGTGCCCGCCCTTCCTCGCGCGCCCCGGAGCCCCGTTTCTTCGGCTGCCCCTTCGCCTCCACTCCCATCTCCTGGAGCCCTGACCCGGGCAGCGTCCCGAGCGGGGGAGTGTCGGGCTGGAGACCCCGGGCGGGCAGGGTGAGGACCCTGGAGGGCCGCTTTGCGCGGCCTTGGCGCCACTTTTCGGAGCCCCGTTCAGAGGCTGACCTCCCGCTCGGATCCTTCCAGCCCCGTAAAGCGGCCGTGGTTGGAAAGCAGGTCCTTGGCTGGCAGTGTGTATGTCTGTGCGCGCGCGCGCGCCCGCCCTGCGGGCTGTTCCCGGGGGAGCCTGTTCCGGAGGCGCCCGGCCTGGGCTTGCCCTCCCCGGGGCTCCCCGAGTGTCCGGGGCGGCTCGCTGAGCTCGGGACCCCGCAAGGGCTGCACGTCGGCTGCAGACCCGATGGATCCTGGTGGCGCCGTGATGCAGCCTTCGGTTGCTAACCGAATCCCGCTCGAGCCGCTCCGCGGGAGGAAGGGGGTGGCAGTCTGTTTACTTACGGGTTTCCAGCTTTGGGCACCCGCAGGGGTCAGTGCTCTGTCGTCCAGAGGGTGGTCAGGAACTTGGAATCGGACTCGACAGCAGGTCGATTTTGGGGTTTCCAGGTTCGAGAAGGTCTTGGTTAAAGTTGCCGGATAAGAAACTAAGATGATGACACACGCTGGTCGTGGGAAGTCAGGGGGAAGGCAGGAATTGACCCTTTTGATGGAGGAATTGTGAAGAACTGGTCCTTTTTGTAAGACGGGGTGGGGGGTGGAAATGAGAGGCAACGTTAAACTACTGGGGATGATTTAATTGAAAACAAGACAGTGATTTCCAGTAGGCTTAAGAAGTGGAACTTCTAGCGATTGTTTATCTTCAAAAAAGTAGTCAGTGTGGTGAAAACAGCAAGAATGTCTTTTACACATTTAATATTGCTGAAAAAATGTAAAACACAGCTTTCCTGATGAGCTGTACAGTTCTTGTTTTCAGGTAGAAATACAGAGGAGAATAGTAATAAAAAAAGTACAACACAGTTTTCCTGATGAGCTGTACATTTCTTAGTTTAAGGTAGAAATAATAGAGGAGCATAGTAATAAAAAACACAAGGAAACAGTTTTCCTGATGAGTTGTACAGTTCTTGTTTTAAGATAGAAATAATAGAGGAGCATCTTAAAAAGTCTGTTTTTTTTTAATAAGTCTGTCTTAATCACAAGCGCATTTTAGTGTAGCACCTACAGTCATGCCTAAGAGTCATCTTTGCTGGAAGTTAAAAGAGCTGAAGGAAAAAAACGGGTATTGAGAATATTGGGCATCTGAAAATAATTCAGTGAAAACTCAACTTCGGAGATTTTGGTGTAGAGACAAAAGATTTTATTTTAGTTGGTTTTGGGTTTTGGTGGTGGTTATTTTTGGTGTTTTATTTATTCCCCCTCTGCCCCCAATATCCATAGCACTTTATTGCAGCTCTGGGAGGACAGTGATATTCCCCTAAAAAAACTGCCTCCTGTTTTGGTTTTTAAATGATAGATCTATTACTTTGTCAACAAGGATGATAACTGAGTTTGTATTAATATTTACAGTGGTCACCTGCAGTGCTTATTAAATCAGCACTGTATAATTAGAAGTTAACATATTTGAGTGCAGAGCTTGTCAGCACAGTGTTATAGATAACTTACAGTATAAGCATGAATGAGTTTCCAGTTCTTAGAAAAATGGTGCTCACAGTCATTTGTGTCAGCCCCACCTGTATCTCCCTTCTGTCTTGACTAGTGTCACCTATAAATACTCTATAAATATTTGTGTAAGGGATGGATGTCTGCCTATAGAATTCAGTCCTCTTAAGATGTGACAGGTACTGTATTTTTCACATAAAAAAGTGCTCACATGTTTGTAATGTTCCTAGTATGCATGGTAGTTGCAGAATTTGAAAACAAAAACTTACAACTAAAACCAACCATATCATCTGTGTCTGATAGAGTGCTTAAGTATTGATTTACTGATTTCCAAGGTTTCTTCTCTGTGAGGAGCTTTCTGTTGGGAAGATAGATGACTTAATGATTGATTAACTCTGTATCAATAGGCCAAGCACAAAGCAATTTAGAACTAAAAGTCAAACATTCATTTTGACCAGTAAGAATAATTTGCATCTTTTTTGAGTCTGTAAATCTTAAAAATATTTTAATATCTGATCTTTATTTCACTCCCCCTGGCATTTAGACGTTATTGTGTGGTTAGAGGAATCCTGATTTAAATTCAGAAAAATTAGAGGTGCTGAAGTGTGTAAGTGGACACTTGTTTCCCCTCTGTTTTTATAAAAATGTGTGTGGAGAGTGAATTTAAATATTTTGCCTTAAGAAGTTGAAGTGAAACCTGAATGAATTCTTTCAAGATTGTTTTCATTGTTCTCTAGAAAGATCTATTCAAAATATCTACTACTTTAATATTATTGATAGAAAAGTAGTATAGTTTTGAGTCTGTTTATTCCTTTTCCACTGGCATAACATTGTTACATTGTATTAAGTGTATTATGACACTGACCATTGGAATACTAGAGGTCTCACAATACCATCAAACCTGCCCCTGAGAAAAGAGCAGATAAGTAATCAGTGGACTCAAGGGGTTCACAGAGGCACTTCTCCTTCTGAGAGTGTCTGGGGGGGGGTGTCGGGGAATGGGTTCTGGGTTAGAGGTTAGAAATATTGAGGTGAGGTGGATTATTTAAACAAATTCTTACATCTTTTCTGTCTCATTTCCTTGTGATAATTTATAGATAATTACTTGCTTATTCAAGATTTATCATCTTGGATTTAAAAACAGTTTGGAGACAAGATCCAAGAGATTAATCTGTTGTATTCCTTATTGTATTGATTGATATCTTTCCCTCCTCATGTTTAATTGTGAAAATCGACGTAGAGAACGCTAAATGAAAATAATTTAAGAATGCACCAGCAGAACAGCCATTTATATTTTATCTTTACTAATCAGAGTGCTCTAGGTTTCTCTTTTATTTCTGAAACATACCATTCTATAGATACTAGACTTTTTAAATTAGAAAGATTTACTGGAAAATCATGCTGAAATGCAGAGGTATTTTAGATGCTTTATAGTTTCTTGAGATTTTTAATAGATACTGACCTTAAGTGTTTAGATAATTTAAATTTTGCAGTAACAAACATTTTCTAGTTCGTTTTCTCTTAATAAAATTCCTGTTTCTTAATTATAAGCATTGAAGTTTCTTTTTAGAAATTTAGTTTTCTTTATAAATAGTAATGGTGTCAGGGATAGAGTTTTTTCCCAAAGTGTAATTTTGAACCCACCTGTTTTTACTTAGTGCATCTTATTTTTGTTTTCTGTTTTAGTGTTAACGGGAACATCCATAATAGTGTAAAAACTTTCACAATGAAATCCGAAGCCAAGGATGGAGAGGAGGAGAGTCTTCAAACTGCTTTCAAGAAGTTAAGAGTGGACGCATCAGGGTAATGAAAAATTTTACTATTTAGTAATTATTTGTTTACTAGATTGCAGTGGAAAGTCGGCTGTTAGGATCTTCTCCAAAGTACTGAAGAGCAGTGGTGTCACTTTGAAGACTAAAGTGCGCCTGATACAGTCCTGGTCTTTGCAGTTACTTGCTATGCATCAGAGAGCTGGACAATGACTAGGGAGGATAGAAGGAGAATTGATGCCTTTGAGCTGTGGTGTTGGAGAATAGTATTAAATATATCGACTGCTGAGAAAACAAACAGGTTCATCCTGGAGAGGGTTAAACCAGGCTGCTCCTTGGAGGCAAAGATTCTGTAGCTTCGTCTGACATACTTTAGACATGTTTCAAGGAGGGACCAATCTTTGGAGAAGGACGTCATGCTTGGGAGGGTGGAGGGACAGCGCAGGAGAGGAAGACCCTCTATGAGGTGGATTGATTCAGTGACTAGGTTAAAGGTGTTAGATGTGTCGGAGACAGTGAGATTGGCACAGGATAGGGTAGGGTTTAGGGCTGTTGTACATAGGGTCGCTATGAGTCACAGACGACTCAACGCCACATAACAAGAAGATTTAAATATTTTTTCCTATAAAATTTCTCATCATTTGTGGATGATGTAAATGATAGTGGGAGCATTCTGCCAAACTCTTAAGAATGTTGCTTTTCTTTTAAAAATTGGGGATACTTTTCCCTCCAGTTAAAATTTGAAAAATGTCATTTCTTCTCTAAGAATGGTTTGTCTTAACTTTGAAGAGACTTTCTCTTCCTTAATTAAATATGATCAAGTATCTTCCCTTGTAAATCGTCTCATACACTTCAAGAGAATCGTGATATTTTTCACTAAAAGGGAATTGACTCAGAAGTTTATACAGACTTTGCAGACTTCATGGGCTCTGATCAAAGCAATCACCTTGGGAACCTCCACAAAGTAGGTTTCTGTCGCTGAGATCAATAATCTTGGACCTTTTGGCTATAGAGCTCCTGTGGACCAGCTGCTCTCTGAATGTCAAAGTACTTCTCTTTGCAAAATATTTGGTGGGAAACTCTTCTTGATCCCTGTTCTGTGCCCCAAGACAGAAGATCGCTGAAATTTTCAGTGGGTAGAAGAATTTCTCATGTGTGGGAAAAATTACTAGAAACTCAGAATAGAACACTCCAGAACAAGCAATAATGATTACTGCAATTTAGTAATTACTGAGTTACAGTGAAATAAGCAATAGGGCATTTTCAGCCTCTGTCTATGCTTAAGACGTCATTATTGTTGTTGTTGTTGTTGTTGTTGTTGTATACCATAGAGTCAGAACTGACCAGTAGCTGACCTTCCGGCAAGTTTTCAGAGGCAGTTAATTGCTGAAAGGGAGATTGCCCATCCTCCAAGGAAGCAGCCAGTGGGATTGTAGCATAGCTTCTTGCCAGTAGGCCACCAGAACTCCAACACTACATTAAGGATGAGTTATTTCTTAAGGAGATAGGGTGGACTATAAGCCCTACCCTGTTAGAAGGTATTACCGAAGTCCCACCCTTGGTTCTCCTGGGAGCATGTTTGTAACATGTAGGGAAGTACAGTAGAGTGATTAAGACTCGAGGAAAAATGGATCGGAGGAGCCCTGCCTGATCATGCGCCATCTAGGAGATTTCTGTGAAGCTCGTGGAAATCCAGTGCTTATTCACTTGGAACACTGCATCTAACCTGATCTGGCTGCACCCCAGCCTGCAACTGACAGTCTCCGTCTGCAGAATCCTGGAATATCGCTGACCAGTCTCAGTGCCCTGCATCATCCACAATCCATTGAATCATTTCCCTGATGGTTTTCTTGTTAGTTCCTATGAGGCAGACCTTCTAGCGACTCCCAGAACCTATAGACATGGACAAGAGTGGGAGAAGTGAAGGGAGGAGGAAGTGTCGGGTGATGGAGTGGTACAGTATTTAGACATACGGAACATTGTTAACTTCTGCCTTAAGGGACTCTTGTGGTTATCTATCATCAAGTTGAAACTGACTCAGAGCTAACCCTCCAGCCAGTTTTTAGAAGCTATAAATCCTACATAATCTTTCTCCTACATCTGGTGCATTTGAATTGTGTACCTCTGCTTTGGTAGCGCACCTCTTACCCTGTAGTCCGGCAGAACTCCCTGTACAGGTACTAGTTTTGTACTATTTGTAAAAAATTATTTCTGCACTTAGTAAAAATCTAAGGTCTGAGCTAAGTGCTTCATAAACATTATTTAACTTCATTCTCACTAACACCTTGGAAAGGTAGGATTGAAATTTTATCTTACAGATAAGACAAATTAAATTATCTGCTAAAATTTACATTGTGTTCGACTCAGAAGCACATATACTAAAATTGGAACATGCAGAGAAGATTAACATGGTCCCTGCATAAAAGATGACAGGCAGATTCTATATATATATTTTTTTTTAAAGTCATTGTTAAGAAGTGGCAGAGCCAGGTTTTAAACCCAAG